ATATTTGAACATTACATTGTAGTTTTGGGCCTGGTCGTGCTATTGGGAGTAGCGGGCCCTAGTGGCCATTATTGTGAATCCCACCCATACTTTTGGTAATGTACTTGTTGTTTGTTAGATATTGTGTCAATAGAGAGGGAGTTTGATTTCCCTAGTTATGAATGAAACCCTACACACAATTAAAGAAGTGAATGAAGAGAATAGGAATAGGAATTTTTACATGGAAAACTTGATAATGGAAAAACCTAAGCCCCGCTGCTTAGTTGAAGTATCTATCGTTAGTAGTGTATAGGAACTACTATGGCTTCTGTTCTCAAATATTGGAGAAGTTATCAATACAAAGTGAGAAGTAGGTTGTCGTTCGCATCATTTGCATTTGTGGGGCAGTGAGGTTGGCTACTGGGACAGTTATTCTTTGGGGGGTTGGGGATGGGGTGGGGTTGGAGTGAAGGCAACATGATATTGGGCGGATGGAGAAGTCTACGTTAAAAGGTCAGGGAGATCGGTGATGATGGCTTAGATAATATTCCTTATGGAATTGAAGCTTGCCTGAACTAAAGGTGGTGTCAAGTGAGGTTACCGAGAATGGTTGGGTTGATCCTCTTCTTATAAGAGAAGGCAAACGAGAACTTAATGTGATGAACAAAGTTGTGCACCAGGATAATTCTTTTTAGGAGGCAAAAGTGACATATTTCTGGTTGATGGACCGGATGATTTGGAACTTTGGGTAGACTGTTGAGTATGGCTTTGATTGCCACCTTCTAGAGTTGGAGGTGGTACGACCTGGAGGGGTTGAGAACAAATTGATTCAAGGTTGTGGAGTCACCTTGCATGGTTAGGTTAATTCTTTTTCTGTTAGAAGAAGGAGACAAGATCATCATGCAATGAACAAGTTAACATAGAAATGTGAGGATGGCCATGAAGGATTGCTGGGATGATCCTCTTGGAAGTGAAGATGACATGACTTTGGTGTGGCAAATTATTTAAGCCAAAGCATCAAGGACCTGTCCTTGGAGATGAAGGCCTCATGACACGAATGCTTTGGACAATGCAATGCTTGAAGGTCGTGTGATTGACGGTGGAAATATAGATAATTTTAACTATGGTGGCAACGCAAATTATATGTGAAGCATGAAATGAAAGATGAAAGCCATGGAGGCGATTGAAGGCATTTATAATGGTTCTCATTATTATGGCATAAATGGCACAATATGAAGGCGAAGGATGAGGCAACAAAAGAAGAATATGGCGATGACCGAGAGTAGTTTGGATGTTTTTTTTTTGTGAAAGTATAGGCTACATAACTTTAAGTCTATGGGAAAGACGATATAGAAACGTCATTGTAATAATCATAATAAAAAATAATTAATATGTTGATTCAAAATAACCCTCGAGGTGGTTTTATCATTAGGTGATGCAGGGGGACAAACAAGATTCATTTGTTCTTGTTAGAGACAAAGTGAGCAAGAGATAGAGAAAGAGAGTGGGAGAGGAAGAAGTTACTGTGTAACGAAGGGTTGCTTGCTTTTCTTATTGGAGATTCGTCGCCATTGGCAGAAGTTAATGCTAAGGGCTTTGTATATGAAGATCAAGAGAAGGAGCATCATTCATAGGAGGGATTCGAGCGGCGATGCGTGTAGGAGGTGAAATTGACGCCGTTGTTGTAGCCCTATGGTTTCGACTAAGTTTGGAGCAAAGCTGTTTGCGGCTTTTGTGCGAAGTAGAATAGAGCGAGCATGCTTCTGTGTGCAAGGGAGGAAGGCGAAATGACCCTCATTTGTAGGATATAGGGATTGAACTGAGCGCAACATCTTGTGCGGCTTAGAACAGAGGAGAGCTTGTGCGCGCAACTTGTGCAAGAGGCAGCGAACCTAGCTTTAAGAAAGCAGGAAGGCAATTTTGTGTGAGAGGTGGAACTAAGCTTATAACGGTAAGGGTTTATATAAGCTATTTTGTTTAATTAAATAAATGCCTATACAATTATATTCAATTATATAAATTAATATTTATTTTTATGAATTACTAAGAGATTGAGTTAAAGGACAAGAGAGATTGAGGATAGTGCATTAAAGGAGAAGATAATGCGGTAAGAATTATGGGTTTTTTATTGGAAGTAATCAATTAATTTAAAATTTTATTAACAATAAGGTTATGTTTTGAACCATACAATTTTGTGTGCGAGTTCGACGAACAAATACATTGAATGAGAGAAAATGTATGATTAGGGTTTTATTAAAATTACAAAATATTTAGTAAGTTAATTGTATATATTAAATGTTGATATTAGGATTTACTAAATAAGGGATTAAATAACTTCCGATTCTAAGGATTTGTGAGTTTGCATTGAGAATTTTGCAAGAGGACAAAGAAGGAAAACAATAAATGTTAGAATTCTCATAATTAAGCCAATGTAATATTTAAATTCATTTTAAGTTATATGTGTTAAGTATTATCTTATAAATCAATTTCAAGAATTCAATTTAAGAAAACACAAGTTAAAGAATTTGAAAGGATCATTCATAAAGTGAAATCAAGGTGAGTAATTATTACTTTGTTTGCGTTAAATTAAGTTCTTAAAAATTTTATTTGTTATACTGACTAACAACACTCTCATAACTGGATGAACATAAGCGAAAATGATCTTCATGCTTCGTGGTTTCAATTTTTATCTTTTCCACAACATTAAATGAGAATTCAAATGAAATTAAATATGGAAATAAATGAAATAGAAGTTAAATAAAAAATAAATGATTAAGTCTAGCAGGAGTCACCCCTTATTGTACAAGAAAGAGATGTTATTATAGTCGTGCACTTTAAAGGAAAATGCAATGAAAATGATTGTATCTTTATGACACAAAATATAAAAAAAATGAAAATTGTTGTACTTTTGCTATATAAATTGGAAAAGATTTTGAGAGTGCTTTTTGAGATAATTTCTGAAAGAAAAATGACATGAAAAAAAGAAAAATATTAAATGAAAATGAAAATATAATTTATAAGATGATTATGTAAAAATTTTATAAAAATGAAATATTCAAAGTTTATTTTATGATCAATATATTTTTTTGAACATTCGTGGTAAACATATGTCTAAAATTTTAATGCATAATAAAATAATAATTATTCATAAAATTCCTTAAAACTTAATATTTTGTTTAAGTATCATTTTTAGGAAGAGGTTTGCTAGATTGATATGGCTGATAGTTGAGAATTTATTTACAAGAGAAGAGACACTGTTGGGGATAGATAACAGCCTGCTTGTTTTTTTGTTTTGTTGCTTTTAATGTACTATTTGTGCTATTGTATTATCGAGTAATCAAATTTATTTATTAGAAGGTTGCTTATATGTGTATTGTGGATTTAGTCACTCATTTCTATATGAAAATTATTGTGGACTATTATTAATATTTATAAATGCTTTTCACTTTTCGAGTGTCCCTATTTGCCTTAGTTAATTCTAAGTTATCTGTCCAGATCGTGATTGCCATGCAAGTGATTGACAGTCATGACAATTATTCTAAGCGGATAAGGGACTAATGACTTGAAGCTAGTGAGCGATTGAGGGTGCTAGGATATTCCTTTTTCTGAAACAAGGGAAGATGGATGACCGACATTTAACAAACAATTGACTGTTGTTAGAACAACCTCCCTCTTGAAAATGTTTAGTGATTGAATAATCCTAAGTTGCTACTTGATTGAAAGTGTATTGGATTATCTCTATATTGAAAGTAGGCGGCAATTAAATCATTCGAAGTCGGTGGGTGCAGCAATGTTGGGTAATCCTCTTGAAATAGGGGATTGATTGACCCGAAGTTGGCACATAACTGGTTTCATAGGTTTGAAGGTTATATGCACAAGCCATTGTCTGTATTCAGACCAGCTCTCATTGTAAATAGTGAATGAACTGCTTTGACTAAATCAGTTAATATCAATTTTTTATTTTCCGGCTAAATCAGATATAACTATCTTATACCTTTTTGTCTGCGAGCATGCCGTATTTGCATCAGAACTTTTAAAATTTTTTTCCTCCGCAATATGCTCATGAATTGATGAAAAAGTAGATGTTTAACTGCTTATACACCATCTAAATCATGGTCTTTCAGAATTGATGGATCGGCAGTAGATATTAGAAGCCTAGTTTTTGTTTACATTGTAAAGGTAAATTCTCTCTGTAATCTACTATGCAATGTCTGTTACTTCAGGTTATTTAGATAAATGGCCAAAATCAATACCTCTATTCCTAAGTGAATGACAGACGGTGCTTGATCTTATTTCTCACAAATCAATAATCGGTTGTTTATTTTGGCTAAACAATTTGAAGACCTTTTTTAGTTTATGACACTGGTATTATTGAGAGAAATTGCGGACAAAATTGACCGCGTGCAAGTGTTTTCATAAATAATGAAGAATGTTTGAATTGTGACTTGGAGGCATTTCTTAGTTGCAGTAATTGTCTTGCATGGCTGCTTAAAATTGTATTGTCTTTCTAATTTCTATCTTTCATTATTTAAGCTTTTGTCAAATTTAATGATCATCATGTTGAGATTTATGAAATGAAAGTATGCTAGATGCGGAGAGAGTTTGATGGGCATTTTGATTTGCACAAATTCTTAATTTTTTGCGACTTCTAGCAGCTTGCCACTTTCTTTTATTGCTACTTTCCAGTAAAGGTTTAAGGATCTTTTGTTGTTTAGTCGAAATAGAGGATTAAGTGGACACCCCTAAAATATGCAGCGAGAATGGTGACATGATCATTAGCGTTAGAAATTAAGTTTCATATTTCTGGAAGTACTTTTGGATTCGTTGATTAAAGTCACTGCTCATGTTAGCTAAAAGTGGCTTCTTCTTCAAATGTTATCATGTTTGCACACATTTAGGTACATTGTGCATTTCTAGCGTTTCATATACAGACTTGCAATGTCTGTCATATTTATTCTCTATGAATATATTTATTTGTTTTGTTAACTTCCATTGTTTGTAATGTAAAGTTTTGGCATTCCGAGTTTGTAAGGCTGCTGTATGTCTATATGTGTCTATTTAAACAAAATGTTGCTCATTGAAAAAAGTTCCAATAGAAGTTCAGTTTCTTGTAAACTTTTTGATCTTGTATAAACATTTTGTCTTTTACATGCAGGTATCTTACTTCCCCTGGATCAGGTATGCTCAATCTTCAATTTTATTAGGTTTATTATCTGACCAGCTTGTTATCAAAGTATATGGTTGGAAACACTAAAGTTGGAACTATTTTCAATCTTTTATTTGATAGAATGTGAATATAAGTTAATTCAACATTTGGAACTGCTCTTCATACAGATGGATTGGTCTTCATTTCTAGGGAGGGGAATCTCTCTCTCTCTCTCTCTCAAAATCAAAATTATTGTGGGAGGGTGTGATATGCTAAATGTTATCTTTCTTACATATTTATCATTTGTACTGGACCTTATCTTCATTTAGATGGATTTTATTCCATTTCTAAAGGGCAGAGCTGCTTTCTCCTTTTTTTAAGGAAATAATAAGAATTATTATGGGTGAATGTGATATGCTATGTGATGCTTCATTTCAGTTACCTGGGGGAACCGAAGAGAGGGAGAGGAAGCGAGGAGTTTGGAAACCGAAGAGGGGGGAGACGAAGCGAACAATCGAGAACTTTGAGGTTACTTTTGTGTATAAAATGATGCGTAGGAGGGGCAGCAATGGCGAGATTGACTTACCTGAGAGTCGAACAATGCGTGCGTGGACCAATGACCGTATGGTAGGGCTTGCACCTAGTTAGCGTCGTGGACGATGACGTTTCTGTCTAGTAGAGAAGGAGGCTGCGTTGATGTCAAGTAGAAGAGGAGCCGACATTGGGGCCGTGCGACCGATGGAAGGAAGATGAGAGGAAGAGTCTTCGCGTGCGGTAGGAGTCGATTCTCGCGACAAAGGAGGAAGAGATGCGACGGGCTGAGCCACGTTTGAACTTGCAGAGGAGTTAGAAGAAGGGAGCCAAAGCTAGAGCTCTCATGTGTGTGGTCCGAATTTTGCTTGTAGTGGAGGGAGGGGATGGTTCCGCGTGCGTTGACTCTCGATCGAGAAAACATAAGGTATGTTTTAATAAAATTTTGAATATATATTGAATTAAAGAAAAGTAAAATAATAATAATAATTAGAATTACATAATAATGTAAATTTAATACTTGAAAAATGTAAAATTAATAGTTAATCAAAATAATAATTAATTAAAGTTTTATAATATGAATATTTATTTTTATTATAGACATCAATTTTAGAAGAGTCGTAATTAAGACAAATCCAAAAATAAATAAATTGTCATTCAAGTGAGTACTCAGGATTTTTAATATATAGTAATATTTTGTTTCTTCTCAACCATTTTGCAAGCAATGATACTTGCATAAGTTTTATTCTGATGAGATATTCTTTTATTTATTGGTCACATTGTTATGAATGTTATATGTTTGTAGCTACTTACTGTGATGCAATTGTTACTGCGATATATATATATATATAGTATATTGAATTGAATGAGATGAGCATATGAATGATATGTTTATATTGACTGCTTGTATGTGCATGATTGACTATGATGAAATCATCTTTTTATTGATATTAGCGGGGGAACGTTAATGTACTCATGTCCATAAATGAAAAGGGACATTGACATTGAAGTACCTTAATTGGTACAACTTTTAGGTGATGCTCTTGTGGCGATTATATAGATATAAAATGTTATAAACATTTTATTGATATAGTAAAATTCATTTAATAATATCATATTATTAAAATATCAAATGTTTATATTGACTTATTAAAAGCTTAACTGATATGCACATTTTTTTTGTATTATTGCACTTTAACAATGCGAGTATTAACTGATTTTTGGTTTGCTCATAGTTGTTTTAAACTAACTTTTCAAGTCTAATTATTTTATTGAAAGACGAGCAACAAAATAGACAATGTTTATAGAAGACACGAACAACCAATAATGAGGTAAATTTATTACTTTAGTTTAATTTCCTTTGTGGCTTTCAATTATTAAATGTTAGTTATAGAAAATAAATTTAGAAAATTTAGTTCTCACCGTATGATCGTCTGTACTTGTCGTAGTTAATGTCAAGCCCGGACCCGATATTGACAAAAGTGGTATAAGAGTAAAGTTCAAGATTAATCAATATAATCTTGTTGAAAAAGCCAAAAAGATAACTATAAGAAAGTTTTAATAAATTAGAAAAAGTTAATTTATATTAATAATTACATCCATTCAGGCATAGAATACACCTGAAATTATAGAAGATGAAAGTCCGATAGCAAACGATGAAGCACAATCTACTATAAATGTGAACGCGAATGTCCTAACCTAGATGATGGTGACAATGACTCAACTGAGTCAGGAGTCTAAATCACAGTTTATTGGAAGTGATACAGTCTCTGAGAATAAGCACTTGAAGATATTTCAAGATTTATGTCCACCATTATTTAAGGGAACCGAAGATTCAATTTAAGCAGAGAATTGACTGATGCAAATTGAGAAGACATTTATCACGACCTAACATGATGACTTGAAATTAACCAAGTTAGAAACAATGGTAGGACAATATTAATATTTCAATTTCATTCCACATTATTTTTAGAAAACTCCAAATATATAAAAAAGCCATAAATCATCCACAAAGTGTAATATACAAAAGTCAAACATCCGGAAATCACATAATTTGCAGACAACTCTAATTAGCACTTAACAATTTAACCATAATACTAATGAAAATAGTACAAAAAAAGTTATAACCATAATACTTAACAACAGCGGTTCTCATCCTGTAAACTAAATCTCTTCAGTTAGTCATAACAATCTATGACTTTTCTTATCTTGAAAAAAAATATTAATTTTAATTGTAAATTTGACTTAGTGAACAATTATAATCTAATATTCATTAAATTATTAAGTCAATACTATTCATGAACAATAAAAAAAGTGCATTCATTTATTTATAAAATTTTAAACTTTCATGTCAAATTTACCATTACTTGTTTCACTTTAAATATTTATTGTTTGACCTCTTTAAGAGTCATAATAAGATTACTGTCATACTTGAATGTATCATAAAAAAATGTACTCAAAGGTACCATAAGAAATATACTCAAGTGTACCATAAAAAATATACTCAAATGTACCCTCAAATTATATCCAAAGGTATACTTTTATCATTTCTTTTAATTTGCACGGGTACATCACATCCCCTGTCATTACTATCTGAAGGTAATCCTGTATGATTGAAACTTTTACATTTCATTTTCTTTAAATTACCTCTTTTAAAAAAAACATTAAAAATTCATTTTTCTCTCTCATTTCATTTCTTTTCCTTTCAAACTCATCAAATGTATATAATTATAAAATGACTGTTTAAAGTATTACAAAAATTCTCTATCAAATAAACATTTATTTAATACATATAACAAAATAATTACTCAACTTGCTTTTAAAAGACCTCTGAAATATCTATCTCTTCACTTACTTTTTTTCTTGCTTCTTGATGTAACTTGCCATAGGAAGGAAATAGTCCTGAAAAACTTCTTCATTGGCTCCCTTCTGCCTCACCCTAGTATTTTCTCTTATATCATGAGCATGTCTGTCATGACCTAACCATGGTGTTTAAAATTATCAAGGAGAGAACAGGTGGCAGACTGCGGGATTAATCTAGAGTTCTGTTTTCATCACTAAAAAAAATCATTGTGTAAGTGTTAGGGCATTCCTTGGAAGAGACGTGCTGTATGATCTGAATACAATGAAAAATGTGCAAGGGCTGCTACACCGACGCCCGAGTTTAGTGTGAAATAAGCAAAAATTATCACATTAAAGACAGATGCGGGTAAAGAAGTTAGTATATAAAACTAATATTATGATAGAATTTTGGAATATAGGTACTCTCACTGATAAATTAATATAATTAGTTGATATTATGATTTATATAAAGATAAATATCTTATGTGTTCAAGAAACTAAATGGGTTGGAGAAAAGGCTAAGAAGATTGATAACTTATGTTTTAAACTTTGGTATTCAGGTAAGAGTCACACTTGAAATGGTTTAGGTGTAATTATATATAAGAGTTTGAAAGATAATGTTGTAAAAATTAATTGAGTTGAAGGTAGAATTATAGCCCTTCAACATTAGTGCTTATGCTCCTCAACTAGGTTTAGATATAGGTTCTGAAGAAAATTCTGAAATGACTTTGAAGGCTTAATACAAATGATACCTTTGAAGAAAAATTTTTATTAGAAGAGATTTAAATGGACATGTTGGTAGAGTGGTTGAAGATTTAGAAATATTTGTGGTGGCTACAGATTTGGAGTAATTAATGAAAAGTTAGAGCTATATTAGATCTTGCTTTAGCATATGATTTTGTCATTTATTAATACTTTATTCAAGAAAAAAGATGAACATATTATTATTTATAAGAATGAATCTAATAAACACAAATTGATTATTTTCTTATGAGAAGAAGAGATCTTCGAACATGTAAGGATTGTAAGGTCATTCAAAGTGAGAATTTAAATGCTCAACATTGATTATTAGTTCTAGATTTTAAGATAAAGAGTTATAAAATAAAGAATACTATAAATCTTCATCGTAGAATTAGATAAGGGCATCTAAAAGAAATAAATAAATTAATTTTATGAATAAAATTTTAGATTTCAAAATTTGGGATGTTCAAGAAGAAGTAAATTCTATTGAAGAAGTAAATTCTATGTGAGATAAAATAACAAATGCTATTAAATAAGTACAAAAGTTGTATTTGGTGGATCAAAAAAAAGTTTCTATAAAAATTTATTGGTGGTGGAATAATAATATGCAAGAAAAGATAAAATATAAAAAGTTATATTATAAAAAATAGTTGAAATGTAAAAAAAATAGATGAAAATGTTAAAAATATTTTTCATAGAAAAAGATATTCAAAATAGGCGTGTGAGTTATTTTGTTAAACTTTTCAATGAAGTTTTCGGGAAATACTATCGACCTTAGTGATCTCAATATCGTTAATAATAATAAAATGTTTCATTTTTACCGTTGCGTTAATAAAAAGTTGTGGAGGCTTTAAAGAAAACTAAGAGTAGAAAGTCTATAGGATCTAATGATACCCCAATGAAAGTGTGGAAATCTTAT